TTGTGTGTGTGTGTGTGTGTGTGTGTGTGTGTGTTTTCGAGACAGGGTTTCTCTGTGTAGTCCTGTCTTTCCTGGAGCTCATTCTGTAGACCAGGCTGGCCTCTAACTCAGAAATCCACCTGCCTCTGCCTTCCAAGTGCTGGGATTAAAGGCATGCGCCACCACAGCCCAGCTTTTTTTTCTTTTTCTTTCTTTTTCAAAAAACAATTCTTATCAAAGAAGTATTGCACACATAACAGATTCAAATACTTTTGGAGTGTATGTGTGTTATTATTATTCTCTTACACCATCAGAGGCTTCCCGGTGTTCTCCACTGTTCACTTCATAGCTGAATATGTCTGTTCATGCTACATCCTGGTAAGCATGAAATTGGAATTTGCTGTGCCAGGGATATTTTTATTTTTCTCAAAAGAAAATTCCCCATTCTGGCTGTTGAAAAAACTTTCTGCACTTGAGTAGAACAGATACATTTTTTAAAACTTACATTTACATGTGCTTTCTTTTTCAATCTAGAGAATGTTCTTTGCTTTCTGGAAACTTCTAAACAAAACATGGTCCCAATCAATAAACTTTTATCAAAATAACTCCCTATGGTTTAGCCAATGCACATTAATTGATATATTTCACCAAATTAAGCCATGATACACAGACTTTTTTATATTATGCTGACTGAAATTTATTAGCATATAATTGAGAATTTTGAGCACTAGTTTGCATGGAAAATAAAAAACAATAATAATAACAATAATAATAAATAAAATTTATTATAATTTTCTAAGGATATCTTTGTTAACATTTTGTGTCAGTTTTGTGTCAGGACACTATTGCTCTAATATGAAAATTTGAGGTTTCTTTTTTCCTTTTGAGACATTTGAAGAAGTTTGTGAAGCAGGAATGATGAGTTCACTCAGTGGGCAATGAGGATTGTGACTTATCTTGACCTGATTTATATCACAAGGACCCACGTGGCAGAAGGAGAGGACCAACACCCAAAAGTGATCTTCTGGTCTCTGTGGCATGGGCATACATATACACACAGTAAATATTTTTAAAATTAAATTAAAAGGTCATGAAGTCAAGGTATTAACTATCACTAATTAATCCCTGACTTTGCTTTGAGAAAAAAAGAATTTCTGAGTTTCTTTTTTAATTTATTTATCATTTACAGTATTCTGTCTGCATATATGCCTGCGTGCCAGAAGAAGGCGCCAGATCTCATTACAGATGGTTGTGAGCCACCATGCGGTTGCTGGGAATTGAACTCAGGACCTCTGGAAGAGCAGTCAGTGCTTTTAACCACTGAGCCATCTCTCCAACAGAAACATACATTTTTATGTAAGCATGTACGTGGATGTCCATAGATGATGGAATTTGTGTTGTGGCTTCCCTGATCATTATTCACATTATTTTTTGTTGTTTTTAAACAGAGTTTTCCTGTGTAGCCCTGGCTATCCTGGAGCTTACTCTGTAGATCAGGCTGGCCTTGAATTCAGAGATCTGCCTCCCAAGTTCTGGGATTAAAAATGTGTGCTACTATGGCCCTGCTCATGTTAATTTTTTAATAGATAGATAGGTAGATAGATGGTGAATAGATAGACAATGGATATATACATAGATGATACATAGATAAATGATGGATAAACATGATGTGTTGATAGATGATGGATAGATATGTGATAGATACATACATCTATATAGAGATAGACCTATAGATGATAGATATATAATAGACGATAGATAGATGATGAATACATAGAAGATTATTTTTTAGATGATAGATATGTGATAGATACATACACATCTATATACTGTCTGTGTTGCATAGTTTTATGTCATCTTGACACAAGCTGAATTCATATGAGAGAAAGGAAGCCCAGTTAAGAAAGTGCCTCCACAGATTGGATTGTAGGCAAGCCTGTAGGGAATTTTTTAAATTAGTGATTGATGGGTGAGAAACTAGCCCATTCTGGGTGGTGCTATCCTTGGGTTGATAGTCTTGGGTTCTTGAAGAATGCAAGCTGATCTTCCCTCAGTGCAGGACTAAAGCATTCACAGTCTGGTCTTTCCTTCTGTGCTCCATATTGTCTGTGGGTTGTATCATAGGCATTGTGAGCTTTTGGGTTAATACTCACTTATTAATAAGTACATACCACGTGTGTTATTTTGTGTCTTGGTTACCTCACTCAGGATGATATTTTCTAGTTCCATCTATTTGCCTAAGAATTTCATGAACTCGTTGTTTTTAATAAATGAGTGTAAATGTACCACATTTTCTGTATCCATTCCTCTGTTGAAGGACATCTGGGTTCTTTCCAGCTTCTGGTTATTATAAATAAGGCTGGTATGAATATAATGGAGCATGTGTCCTTATTATATGTTGGAGGATCTTTTGGGTGTATGCTCAGGAGTGGTATAGCTGGGTCCTCAGGTAGAACAATTTCCAATTTTCTGAGGAACCATCAGATTGATTTCCAGAGTGGTTATATCAGCTTGAAATCCCACCAACAGTGGAGGAGTGTTCCTCTTTCTCCACATCCTCGCCAGCATCTACTATCACCTGAGTTTTTGATCTTAGCCATTCTAATTGGTGTGAGGTGGAATCTCAGGGTCGTTTTGATTTGCCTCTCTCTGGTGACTAAGGATGTTGAACATTTCTTTAAGTGCTTCTCAGCCATTTGAGATTCCTTGGTTAATTCTCTATTTAGCTCTGTACTCCACATTTAATAGGGTTATTTGGTTCTCTGGAGTCTACCTTCTTGAGTTCTTTGTATATATTGGATATTACCCCTCTATCAGATGTAGGGTTGGTAAAGATCTTTTCCCAATTTGTTGGTTGTCGTTTTGTCCTATTGACAGTGTCCTTTGCCTTACAGAAGCTTTTCAGTTTTATGAGATCCTATTTGTCAATTGTTGATCTTAAAGCATAAACCACTGATGTTCTGTTTAGGAAGTTTTCCCCTGTACCCAAGTATTCGAGGCTCTTTCTCACTTTCTCTTCTATTAGAGGAGGATATTGGAGGGAGAGAGGAGGGGGAGGAAATAAGGGAGGGCAGTATCATGAACTGGAGGAGATGTCAGAGAGGTACAGAAGGTCAGGAAATCGAATAAAAATATGTAGCAGTGAGGGATGAGGAACTGGGAATAGCCACTGGAGGGTCCCAGATACCAGGGAAACATGAGGCTCTTGGGACCCAATGGGGATGACTTTAGTTGAAATGCCCAGAGAAGGGGGAGATAGAACCTGTTGAGACTACCTTCAGTAGATAGGCATGGCCCTACTCATCTCAAAGTTTTTTTAACCCAGAAATGTTCCTGTGCAAAAAAAGAAAAGGGATAAAAAAATGGAACAGAGACTGAAGGAAGGGCCAACCAGGGACTGCACCACCTGGGGATTCATCATGTCTGTAGACACCAAACCCAACACTGTTGCCGTGGTCAAGAGGTGCTTGTTGACAGGAACCTAGTGAGGTGGTTCCTTGGGAGATCAGGCCAGCAACTGAGCAATGCACATGCTTGGACCCAACCACAGACTGAGCTCAGGGAACCTGATGGGGGAACTTGCGGAAGGACTGGAGTGGTGGAGGGGGATTGCAACCCCATTGGAAGAACAACATAGGCTGGCCTGACCACCCAGTTCTCCCAGAGACTAGATCATCAACCAAGGAGTGTACCTGGAGGGATCCATGGCTACAGATACATATGTAGCAGAGGATGACCTTGCCTGACATCAATGGCCACAAATCAAGAAATGCCTCACAGCTGAACCTGGTGGAGGTATTTTCTTGAGTGTCTCCTTTCCCAAATGACTATGGCTTGTGTTAAGTTGAAAACTAACAGCACACAAAACTTTTAATGTTTACTTTAAACAACCAATATAATAATTTGTCCTCCTTTCTAAAGTCAAAATTACAATATTGAAGTCTGTAACATGCAGTAATGATGCGACTCTTTGATGTATGGTGTGTGTATGTGTGTGTGTGTAGTTTTTCACCTGTGTTGTGGACATACATGTGTGCATGTGGATGTTGAAGGTCACAGGATGATGTCAGGTGCCATCCTTCATGTACATCTGCCTTATTTGAATTATTATTACTTTTTTAAAAAAATATTTATTTATTTTTTTCTCAAATCGAAATTCATTCACACAGGGGTTATAAACACAGAAAGGCAGGATGTGGGGAAGGAAATGACACTGGAGTGTAGGTGTTCAGGGGGAATACAAATATCTTTCAGAACCGGGTATCAGCTGGGTGAAGGTTCAGGGGACAAGTCACTGTGATTCTGCCTATGACTCACTTGTCCTTATCTAAGTTGGTATTGTCTGCCAAGGCTACCTATTTACAAGGTCTATTATTACTTTTTAAAATGTTACGTGCATTGGTGTTTTGCTTGCATGTTTGTCCACGTACATATCAGATCCCTTGGAACTGGAGTTACAGAGAGTTATGAGCTGCCATATGGGTGTTAGGAATCTAACCCAGGTCCTCTGGAAGAGCAGCTTGTGCTCTTGACCACTGAGCCATCTTCCATGTCCCCTGCCTTAGCTTTTTAGATGGTCTTTCACTGCCCTGCGATATTTCAGGTAGTTTAGGCTGGCTCCTGGTGACATCAGAGGATTCATCTGTTTCTACCTCCTTCCCTGGTGCTGAAATTACAGTCATGAGCCACCAGACATGGCTTTTCCCAAGTTCCTCAAATTATTATTAATAAAAATCATCTGATATTATTAACCCATACTTGCATTCGACTTTTTATTTGTGTGTGTGCGTGTAATATGTGTGCAGTGCTCAAGGAGTCCAGTAGAGGGTGTCAGGTCCCCTGGAGCTGCAGCTGTTAGCTGCCTGATGTGGGTGTTAAGAACTGATCTCAGGTCCTCTGGAAGAGCAGCAAGAACTCTTAACCTTTGAGCCACCCCTCCAACACTCCTCTCCTTTTAAAAAAGTCAAATATATTTTTATGTGCATTGCACTTTAGCGTCCTTTCTTCAAAAACACGTATGGAAGTGAAATAAATTTATTTAAACATTCAAAGATGCAATAACACCGATTAGAACATGGGGAAGAATGAATGAAAGAGAAAGTATGGAGACAGGAATTGTAATTTGCAGTAAGTAGGAAGATTTGATCTGAGAGAAAAGATTGCTTCATCTTCATATTGACATTTCAGGTTTCAGGAAGAATATACTGCAAAGGTCCCGATGTCAACTGTAATGTTGGAACAGAATTATTTTATATATTTACGATAGTAATACATGATACTTGATGAGAGTGGAAATAAAACAAACACAAGCCATTAAAGAGGCAAACAATGACAAGATGTATCATGCAAAAACACTTTACAGGATTTTGTATGTTTGGGAATATACATGAACTTTGGAAGTTTTCCATATATGGAAATTTTTGATATGACAATGATCTTATATCACAACCTAAATTAATATTTTTTAGGACTCGCTGGGCAGTGGTGGCACATGCCTTTAATCCCAGCACTTGGGAGGCAGAGGCAGGTGGATTTCTGAGTTCAAGGCCAGCCTGGTCTACAGAGTGAGTTCCCGGACAACCAGGGCTACACAGAGAAACCCTGTCTCGAAAAACCAAAAAATAAAATAAAATAAATAAAAAATATTTTTTAGGACTCACATGTTTACTTGAGGATATAATTTTTATGAATCTAAACTAAAATTATATATATTTTTGTTTCAAGGTACTTTTACATTGGAGTTTAACAAGCTCCATGTATCCTACAGCCATAGTCTCACTCGAGGTCCCAGATAGTAGCTGAATCTTAGAGGAAGATTAGGGGTAGAACTTGCTGCCCCCAATATCAGCTCCATAGAGGAGAATGCCATCTCAACACTAGTAAGAATTAGTCCCCTTCTGGATATTGTCAATATCTCCTCTGAAAGAAGGAAAATGACCTAATATAAAAATGTATAATTCCATAAATAGAATTGGAAAAAGTGGACATCAAGATATAGAGAAATGAATCTGGGCCCTTCTCTGTCATCCTGCAAAAAACTCAACTCCAAATGAATCAAAGACCGTGTCATAAGACCTGGTAGCCTGAAGCTGATAGAGGAGAAAGCAGGGAGTATGTGTTGACCATAGACACAGGGATGGATTCTCTGAATAGGGTTCTTATAGCAAGAAAGTAAGACCAACACTGGTCAGGTATCACGGAATTAAAGATGACAGCAAAGGAAGCTGTCAATTAAATTCACAGGTATCTCAGTGAATGGAGATCTTTGCCAGCTACTCATGTGATGGAGGATTAGTGTTTACAAAGAACTTAGAATAAAGCAAAGCAAAACACAAAAACTATGAACACCAAATAAACAAATCCAAAAATTAGTAAAAGAATTCCTGTGTGACCCAGTTACACCATTTCTAGATATGTACCCAAAGGGGTTTATATCCTGTTACAGAGACTCTTGAATGTCCATGCTCATTGCAGTTAAGTTTATAAAAACTAAGAAATGAACTTGATCTAACTGTTCATCAGCTAATGAGTGGATAAGGAAAAATGTAATATATAAGATGTAATATTGCTCAGCCATAAAAATGAAATATTAAATTTACAAGTAAAGAGAAGGAACTGGAAATTATCATATTCAATGAGGTCATCCAGGCCCAGAAAGACAAACTACACATTCTATCTCACATGTGGATCTTAGATTTGAATCTTTTATTTTGTATGCATAGTATGGAGTATGTGAGGAAGCCAGGTAATTAGAAACCAGTTTGAATTTGGTCCATCAAGGAAGTGGGTCCATCAAGTGCCATTAAAATGAAGTATAAAGAAGAATACTGGGGGCAGGAAGGCTCAATCATGGAGTTGGATGTGGAATGGGGAAATCAGGGTGTCGTGGAAGGTTTAACCAGAATGAAGGGTTATTAAATACTCATATGGAAACTTATGATTGTGTGATTAAAATATAATTAGACAGGTGATAAAATTGGACACTGATGACAGGGAAGATTACAAGGAGAAAGCTGTGGGTTAGAGGAGCAGGTGTGAATGTGGTTGGGGGAAGAACAGGGGTAGGGGCGGGCCAACTAAAACTGAAGGTGTATGAAGAAGTCTTACAGAAATCCACTAGTTTCTAAGCTAATTAAAAATATAGCATTAAAAAAGTTTCAGCAGAGGATCTCTGCAATGGTATAAGTGCTGTTCCCAGAAGACATTGTTTGTTCAGTGAAAATCTAATTTTTAGTCATGGGGGTACCACCATACTATTGATTAGTTCAGGGAGGCCTTGGAATCACCAAAACAACTTGGCTATTGCCATATCTCTTGGCTACCCACCATAACTAAATAGTAGGACACTATTGCTGAAGACATCACATGCTGTGGCTGTAGGGCATCGAGAAATCAATTTCAAATGGACTAGGAAACTCTTCTTCAGTTCTTAGATGTACTTAATAGGCTGTGTATGTGAGATAAGATATTAGTGATGTCACCATGCTGCTCCAACACACTATAAAAGCATCCTTGTGTCCACTAGTGCAATAAACGCTGTACTGGGGAACCAACCACTCTCTGATTAAATATGATACCAGCTCCATGGGGATACCACATCTAGGGAAGAACAGGGGTAGGGGTGGGTTCCTATTGTAATTCTAGTCAAAAGTCCATGACAATGGAGCTCATGAGCCTCTGGAGGAGACCAGTTGTGATAAAGTGTCATGTTTCCAAGCCACTGTCTTAAAAACACTCATAGATTTATGTTGCTTTCAATTTTGGTCAAATCAACTTTTTACCTTTTTGTTTGTTTCTTTAGAGACTATGTACCTGGCTGCTCTGGAGCTCAGTATATAGATCAGTCTGGCCTGATACAGAGATTCATCTACCTCTGCCTCCCAAGTGTTGGGATTAAGGGTGTGCCTCCAAGTCTGGCTTCTGCTCAACTTTTTAGAGTGGGGAGTGGTTCGTGCAGAAATTTATAGCTGGTCAAAGGGCTGAGGCCAAGTAACTGTAGATGCTCACCCATCAATGGGGAGTAGAGCCAAAAAGTTCTGTTTTCTGAACATGACAGACCTGTTAAATCATGAACTTACAGCAGCTGTGGTGTTCTGCACAAGACTCTGGCCAGATCAAGTCAGTTAACATTCTAGAATGGAGTACAGTGGGACTCAGGACAATCCACCACTAACCAAAGAGCTATTGCCAGTTGATAGTTTCTGGGAGAGGGAGGGTCTGTATTTTTCTTTTTTCCTCTTTCTGCCTCTCTGTCTTTGTCTCTGTCTCTCTCTGTCTCTCTCTGACTCTCTCTCTCTCTCTGTATCTCTCTGTCTCTTTTTCTCTCCCTCCCTCCCTCCTTCCCTCCCTCCCGCCCCCCCACCCCTCCTCCCACCCCTCCTTCCTCCCTTCCTTTTTTGTCTTTATTTTTTTTTTTTTTTTGGTTTTATGAGACAGGGTTTCACTGTGTAGCCCTTGTTGCCCTGGAACTCACTCTATAGACTAGGCTGATCTAGAACTCAGAGATACAGTTGCTTCTGCCTCTTCAGTGCTGAGATTAAATGCATGTGCTACCAGCTCCCTGCAGTTCATTTTTTCCCTATGGCTGTGGTTCCTGGTGTATTACATTGCTCATGCCTCCAGGAATTGACACACCCTATTCAGAAATAGCACCATTTGGAATCATTGAGATAATAATGATTATGATGATGATGATAAATTTAAAAAACCATGAAGTATAGAGGGAGATGTGTTGCTGGGTCTCTGGGATGAGGTGTGTGGGAGTAGGTAAGATCAAGATATATTATATACATATATGAAAAAGTTAAAGAACAAATAAAATATTTTAAAAATTGAATTTAAAATGAAACGTCAAGATATAAAATGAACGTGATTTGACTCACCTAATCTTGATCTTGTTTGGACAGTTGTCTAAAGGAGAGTAAACATGGAAAAATAATATTATTTTAAAGTGATTTATTAATGTAAAACCACACTATTATTTTAAAGTAATACTGCACTTCAACATAATATTAATAATAATATTACTGCATATGAACAGTTTTCATAAAAATGCAGATAAAAAGCTAGGTTTTGAATAGAGTATCTGAACAAAGGATCCTGGGAACTGAGTTTCATTTCAGGTAGATTTTGTTTGTGTGTATCTATCTGTATGGTTCATTGGTATGTCTATAGTCATGTGAATGACATGGGTACACCCATGCATGCATAGGTAAGATGCTGACTTTGTAATATCTTCTTTATTTATTCTATACATTGTTAGTTTTGAGACATGATCCTTCAGATAGATCTATTACTAGAAATCTCTTCTTGTCCCCTCCCCTTCCCAGCTCTGTTATTCTTGGCTTTCTAAATGGGTGCTGGGATCCAAACTTGGGACCTCATGCATGAGTGCACTTTCTCCACTGAGCCATCTTCCCAATACCCTCTATAATCAAAAATGAATATTCATTATAAAAATGCAAAGTAAGAAGTTACACACACAGGTTGCTACTATACCTGTGTCCATGACACGCAGTACTTTCTCATCCTCAATGCCTATTGATTCCACTAAGTTCATGTACTCCGTCATCTCTTCCTTAGTCAGTTGATTGCCTTTTCCTGCATTTCATGGTGTATAGGGAAGATGTCACAACATTAGTACCCAGCACACTAATAAAATATTCTCTTTTGCTTAGTCTCCTAAAAAGCACCAAAGCACAATATCTGCCCCCTTTCTCCAATAGTTTTACAGTGCAAATTTGCATCATTTTCCTAAGATATCAAAGCAGTGGGTGAACCCCAGGATGTAATATACTATCTCTCATGTTTTGTAACATTGACAATTTTATCAATATCTCAATTTCCTTGCTCAATATTCTGACAAAATGCTTTGACAAAAACAGTTTATGGTAGAAAAGTGTGTATTTTCCCAGTTATAGCACATTTAATTGGGGGAAATTCCAGCAGGAGAAGTTTAGGGGGCAGAGACACCATGTCCATAGTGAGGAACAGAGATCAAAGAATGCATACATACGTGTGCTAGCATTTAACCAGCTTTCCAAGTCTGATACAGGTCAGGATGATCTTCCCAGCAAATGGTGCTGAACACAGTGGGCAGAGCCCCCTTTGTAGTCATCATTCAGTTTACTCCCAGAGACACGCACATAGGCCAGTCTCATGAGAGAAATTCTTCCCTAAGAACTTTGTCAGAGGATTCTGAATTGTGTCTGTTGGTAGTTGAAGCTTACAGCATATCCTCTTGCTACTGAATGGTGCCACTCACATTGGGTGAAGACTTTTTATGCTAACTATCATTAGAGATACATCCACAGGTCAGTCTGCTATGGGAAATTCCCTACTGAGACCCTTTCCAGGGCATTCTGGTTATGTCAAGTTGATCTTCACAGCTAACCATTACAGCTTCAGTGATTTATCAACATGACAAACAGAATCAGATGCACAAACACATTGTGACCTTTGGGTACAGAGATATGCATGCATCCATGTCCTTGAACCACATACTCAGATGACTAATTCCATGTGTGACACTCACCCAAAACTCCAGCCACTCGTGTGACCTCATTTCTTTTGTTCGTGTTAAAATAATGAAACAGCAATATCTTCTCATTCACTGTCTTTAACACTAATGCGTTGCTCCCTTCATCTGAGATAGATAAGAAATTTGTATAAATACATATAAAATCATCAATATGGTTGTTCAGGTTCATTCTAATGTCACAGTTATGAATGTGCATATGGAGTATATAATCTCTGATTCACAATATTCTGGCCCATGTATTGAAGCTAGTCAAGACAAACAGGGAATTATAAAGCAAGTTTAATATTTTGTTTTAAGATATAAAATATATCTAATATCCCACAGTTAACTACAAATATGTAGAATCTATATTGATTTGGGATAGCTATGTTCCTGATACCAAGATATATGAGTTCATAGAAGGTGGCATACTGCAATCCTCTTACTTGCTGAGGATAGCTATATGATTATATGTAAACACACATATGTATATACATTTCATTGATCCTATTAAATTTAATGCTGTAATTGTTTACACATACATATATTGAGGAAAGATGTAATATATAGTATATATATTATATATGTGAGTGTATATATATATAGGCATTTTCATGGATCCTATTATATTTAATGGTGGAATTATCTACACATACATACACGCATTGAGGAAAGCTCTCTGATTCTATATACCGACATTTTTATGGATCTGATCTACATTTAGTGGTGCAATTATCTAACTTTACCAATTTTTTCCTCAGAGACATGACAGAAGAAAAAAGAGAGGGTGCCACATAACGATTTTCTCCAAACTAGAACACTCTGTCTTGGTAGCTCATGAGATTCGAGAAGTAAAAAACCCATGGCCGGGTGGTGGTGGCACACACCTTTAATCCCAGCACTTGGGAGGCAGAGGCAGGCGGATTTCTGAGTTCGAGGCCAGCCTGGTCTACAGAGTGAGTTCCAGGACAGCCAGGACTATACAGAGAAACCCTGTCTCGAAAAAACCAACCCCCCCAAAAAAAAAAACCCCACAAGTCTCAGGATGATTTTGAGAATAACAACTTTCAGCAGGCCACTCTATAGTGTTATGGGAAACAGTGAACAAGCCCTGTGGAAGACTCTGACTAGCTTAGTTGTCTGTAAGCCTTGCTAAAGCTCCAAGTATAAAGGTTTCAGGAGTGTCAGCCAAGCTGGTTTGGGCTCTTCAGAAATGCAGCCATATTTACACATGCTTTTGTAAGTTACTCCAATACACTTACTAACAAGACTTCTTAAAGAGGGGAAGGGGCTGACCTAAGACCCTCCACATTGATATGATGACTGTTCATTTTCATGTTAGTGGTTTCTCATTTTCTTTCTGAGACTGGTCTCACTATATATCCTTGACTGGCCTGAAACTTGCTCTGTAGACCAGGCTGGCCTCAAACTAAATTACATAACACACAAGGTGGGGTATAGGGTTCTTTGGAGGGATATATGCTTGATTCTGCACATATTGGTGAGTTCATTCTTCTCCTGTATTTAGGTACAATAAACTCATTTATAAACCAAGCTAGAGTCCATGACATGTCTATCAGTTTAATGTGTTGGGTTAAATAGACACTTTATGGTTTAATAGAAAATAATGCTGAAGTGTTGAGCATCCCTAGTCATCAGGGAAATACAAATGAAAACAACACTGAGATTCCACCTCACACCAGTCAGAATGGCTAAGATCAAAAACACAGGTGACAGCAGATGTTGGCGAGGATGTGGAGAAAGAGGAACACTCCTCCACTGTTGGTGGGATTGTAAACTGGTACAACCACTATGGAAAGCGGTCTGGCGGTATCTCAGAAAATTGAACATAGTGTTACCTGAGGATCCAGCTATATCACTCCTGGGAATATACCCAAAAGATGTTTCAACATACAACAGGGACACATGCTCCACTATGTTCATAGAAGCCTTATTTATAATAGCCAGAAGTTGGAAAGAACCCAGATGTCCTTCAACAGAAGAATGGGTACAGAAAATGTGGTACAGTTATACAATGGAGTACTACTCAGCTATTAAAAACAATGAGTTCATGAAATTCTTAGGCAAATGGATGGAGCTGGAAAATATCACCTTGAGTGAGGTGACCCAACCTCAAAAGAACATACATGGTATGCACCCACTGATAAGTGGATATTAGCCCAAAAGCTCACAATATCTAAGACACAAGGTATAGACCACATAAAACTCAAGAAGAAGAAGGAAGACCAAAGTGTGGGTGTTTTGGTCCTTTCTAGAAGGAGTATCAAAAGATTCAACCAGAGCTCCCAAAGTCTAAACCTCCAGCCTGAGAGTACAAAGGGAGGGACTCATATCTCCACCTGTATAAGTAATTGAGGTGGCCTTGTCAGACATCAGTGGAAGTGGAGGGCCATGGTCCCCGAAAGTTTGGATTCCCTAGTGTTGGGAAATTCGAGAGCAGGGAGATGGGACTGGGAGGATGTTTGGAGCATACCCTCATAAAAATAGGAGGAGGGGGTATGGGATAAGGGGTTTTGGGGGAGAATGGGAGAGGAGATAACATTGAAAGGTAAATATGTATAATATCCAATAAAAAACAACACAGATAAAGGGTCTAAAAAAAGTGAGAGTTTACTTATTTTAAATTATTTTCAAAAGTTTCTAGGAGATGCTAATTATCTAAGATCTTATTTTAAGCTCTCCACAAAAGAATTTAAGTCTCTGTTTAATATTCACAAGAGAGAATAAATCCTAATTAGAGATGTAAATCCTAATTTTCCTCAACAATTAATTGACAAAAGAGAGGTAATCTCACAAAAAGTAGAAGAAGCTATTACTAATCGATATATTATAGTCTGATTAGTTCACGACGGTACTATAACAGTTTTAGATAAAAGATTATTAATATAGATTTATATTTCTTTAAATAGGGTCTTCTTGGCTCTCTGAGTGTGGAAGGAGCAGCTGTTGGCGCTTCTGCCCTGATTTTACAAGAACTCTGAAAAATTGGCTTTAAAAACAAAAGAGGGGGAACGGTACCCCCTCAGAAGGAATCCCCCTGAAATACTCTCCATCATGCCTTGTTCACTTTTAACTCTCTAAAGCTGAAAGCTCATGGCAAATCTGTTGGTGACTGCCTCTGGCACCACCGAGACCAGCAAAAACTTTGCCACAGATATGGGGAAGGACCTTCTTATCCTTAAAGGGAATGGCCCAGATCCAGTTCCCTTATGGGGCCGAGGATTGATATGCCTGTTTCATACCACAGAAGGCACAGCTAACCGGCTACCAAAAAGATTAATGAAATAAATAGATACCCCCACAAAGCCAGACGCAACCATAAATAAGATGAATAACAATTTACATCCAGGGAAGAGAAATCTCCCTGAGAATTCCCTTCTTTTTCCTTTCCAGGTAAAAATGAATCACCTGTGATGTCTGCTGTTATAGGTTCTAATCCAGATGCTGGCCTCCGAATTTATACTACTCAGACCTTTGAAGGGCCACTGACAAGAACATCAAACAGCTACAGATTGACATCACTAATCTGAAGAAATCCCTCGTTTCACCGTCTGAAGAGACCTCCTAAAATCGCAAAGATCCTTATTGGACTTGATTTACTCTAGTACAATAGAAAAGGCTGTGTACAGCTCTGGACTGTGTACAGCTCTTAAAGAAGAATGTTGCCTTTACATAGACAAGACAGGGAGGGTTAAAGAGAGCATGAAATAGGTCAGTGAAGGCCCTGAGAAAATCAGAGAGAGAAAGAGACAGATGAATGCTGATACAAGAATTGGTTTTCAGCCTCTCCAAGGTTGTCAGCCCTACTTCCTCCCATCTTGGGACCATTATTTGGGTTCTTTTTGCTTATTTCTGCTGGTCCCTGGGCCTCAAATAGGTGGACTAACTCTGTGAAACAACAGATAAATAATTTGGTAGCAAAAACTACTCAGATACATTATCATAAGTTAGCTATGGAGGACCACGAGACTCAAGATGAGGTTGTTACTTTATACAGGGTGTTCCCAAAACCCACCTCCACCCAACCTAAAAGAGGGGACTTCTGCCCCTAGACCAAGCAGAGAGGGGCCACCCAGAACCCCCTCTGACTGGCGATCTGAATTCTTGCTTAGTCTGCGAGCCTAAGCACTGCAAGGGAATATAAATAAAAGATAAAAATATCTCTCTGGGTTCCCTGAGGGACAAGCCGGACTGCATAGGGGTTGATGTCAAAAGTATCCCCTCTCCAGGAAAAAGACATCAGGATGGGTATGGCCCTCATGCCTCACTGGACAACGACAGGGGGACCGGAGCCATTACAAGGTCCCCTTCAAGTACTGGAGGTCAGGCCTCTATCCCCGCCTTCGCAAGATTAGAATTGCCACAACCCTTCTATACTTAGAGAAGGGAGGAGATGTCAGGGGCAGCCCTGCTTACACACTGAAGGTCTAAAATCAGCCATAGGTCTAAAATCAGCAATAGGCCTGTCATACGTGTATACTAACACAAAGTCTTGGGTCTCAGTGGAAAAACATTGAAACAGATGGCTATAAGCTAATGTAAATAGGCAGCTTTTGTGGAAATTTACCAACCCAAGTAGTCATAGACCTTGTAAATAGGTAGCCTTGGCAGATAATACCAACTTAGATAAGGACAAGTGGATCATAGGCAAAGTCATAGTGACCTGTCCCCTGAACCTTCACCCAGCCGATACCCTGTTCTAAAAGATATCTGTATTCCCCCTGAACACCCACACTCCAGTATCATCCCCTTCCCCACATCCTGCCTTTCTGTGTTTATAACCCCTGTGTGAATGAATTATGATTTGAGAAAAAATAAATAAATTATTTTAAAAAAATTAAAAAAAGAAAATAATGAAAGTATCTTTATCACTTGTTTCATGACAAATTAAACTGATACCTCTATTCTTTATAAATGGATTTCAATGTGTTTTAGGTTATATGCCTTGCTTGTCAGAATTAAAGAGATAAGACTATTCATGATGCTTAAATTTATATATTGTAAATAATTTTTCTCCCCAATAAAATTATAAAATTTAGATAATTTATCATTACATGTACAAGACCCATGTTTCAGAATTTCTGGGAGTCATTTTAATAGTTGATAAAATCCTATTTCCTATTTTGCATCAAGTTATTTTTTTGAAGTGCTCAAATTACCTTTTAATTCCTTTAACCATTCTCAGACTCTTGTCTGTGATTTAGTTTATGCTTAAAGCTAAACAAGGGAAGTGTGATTGGTACAAACATACACCATATAGATAAAAATGTTTAAAAATTCATTAAAAACTGAACAAACAAACAAACCACATTTCTTATTAGCTCCAAAATGACTAGGAAGACAATGAAGAGGCTTTCTTCAAGATTGCATCTGTAATTTGTAGAGACAAATGCATTGGAATGTAGATATCAGATATGCAAAATTCAACTATGACCGTGAATTTTGAAAAAAAGAAAACAATTAAGGTCATGCATTCACCCCAGCATTGTCTACTCACACTCTGCAAAGTAAACTTCTTGTTTTCTCCTTCCTACGATTTTACGCTCATGGCACTTGGCTCCTTCCCTGAAAAACAAATGCATGTATGTTGTTGTATTGTGTATTACTCCAGAGTCCTGATTCTTCAAAAATGACAGGACAGTTAATTGCAAATCACATTTTCCTCTGTAGATCTGTCATAAGAATATGATGTTGTAGGACATCTTCCCTAAATATAATTAATACATTCTTAAATGGCATCAATCACCCTGTTAGGTGTTTGCAGGTGTCTTTGTTAGGGTAGAATTAGCTCCTCTGTGTGATATCTGTTGCCTATCCTGACCTCTGACTAATGAATGTCTTTGAACTCCTGATCTTCCTGGTTCTACTCACCAAGTGCTAGGATGATGGGAATGTAGGACTGCAGCTTTGTGCTGAGGATGGAACCCTGGACTCTGTGGTTCATGCTGTAAAATCACTCTCCCAACACAGCTGTATACCCAGTACCCAATAACGACTATTGATAAATGAAAAAAAAAATCCAAAGTATTGAGAAAAAATTCTACCCCAATCTGAGATGAGAAATGTCTGTAGAAATTGGGTTTAAAGGGTGCAAGGCCACCTGGTGCAGAACACATCTCAGTGCCCTACACATACTATAGGCTAGTCTACATATTTACATTGGAATCATGTTTTTATTCTTTGCCCATCTCATAAATATCACCAATCTTATAGATTATGTAGCAGCAATTGCTTTGTGCATTTAAATGGATTCAAATTCAGCCTACAATTGTATTCTCAGAAGATTTAAGTTGCAATGTACATTGACAGATCAGGAGATTCATAGAGTCGTAGGCATGGTCTTGTATTCAGATCTGTATTCACTCATCAGAGATCCATGTGACTAATAGTGACTGTCGCAGCTTAGATTTGTCTTTATGGCTCTAAAAACAAGGAATAACTGGGCTGGAGAGATGACTCAGCCATTAAAGGCACACAATCAAAAACAAACAAAAAGATGGAAATAACTGTTTAGACCAGGGGTGTGGTTACATAAAGCCTGTTGAAAGCCTTGGGGTCTATTCTCTGCATATAAAAAAAATCACTCATGTCTGGAATGACGACCCCTCCAGCATTGTTCCTTTTGCTCAGGATTGTTTTAGCTACCATAAGATCTTTTCTGGCTCCAAATGAATTTTAGAATATTTTGTAGTCTTACCTGAAGAAAAATCCTTCCTATCAATTGGTTTTTGAATATCAAATGGTTTCTGTAAAATCATACCTATACAAGTAACATTATATAGAACGAACAGGTTGCATATTTAAGAACACACACAGACACACAGACACACACACACACACAGAGAGACACACACACACACACACGATTAAAGAAAAAGAAGCCTAGGATTTGAAAGAAACTAAGGAAGGAAGGTAGGAGGGTACATGGGAAGGACTGGAGGGAGAAAATGGAAGGGAGAAATAGGTAATTATGTTTTAGTTTAAAAAATGTATTTAAAAATAAAAATTTTATCTCTTCAACATGCTAGTGTATACACCTACTTGATTTTCAACGGTTACTCTTTTATTTATTGTATAGAATGCCAAAGTAAAATAATAAATATCAAGAGATGGGTGGTGATTATATATAGGTAATAGATACATAGGTAATAGATTTAAAAAGATAAAAGATACATATACACAAATGTAGGTAGTTAAATAATAGATAATTAGCTAGAACAGATGATAGATGTATGCATAGGCATGTAGGTAGACAAATAACATGATAAAGAGACAGAAGATACATAAATAGATAAATAATAGATGGATATATGCATGTATATATGTACATACATAGGTAGATACTGATATATAGTAGATATCTACAATAAATAAACTATCTCATTCTAAATTAAAAGTACAGCTATCATATGTCATTTTCAGGGACCATATAGAGCAAAGTGATATAGGAATCCTCACTTAGTGCTGTGTGTGTTCACTGACCTGAGTGTTGACTGAAAACATTTCATTTCTCTAACCACAGACCATCACATAGATTGTTCTGTCTAATCTTACTTAATAAAAAAATAGAGGTAGATTCGGTTGCATTTCTTCCCACACAAAAGACGACGGAAATAAGTCCTCAATGGAGAGCCTTCTTTTATCTTGTCCTCGGAACTGGCAGCTAAGTAAATTGTTCGCCATTTCCCTTCAATCTGAAAAAAAAAAAAAGCAGCTATGGAAACAAGGCAGGCAAAAGTAGAGGATAGTTTAGTAACCCTGGATTCCAAACCCACTTGGATGGGGTAATTTACAACCTGATTATGTAATAAGGCATTAGGCAGCTTAGCTTCTTTTATGTTCATGCATACTCTACACAATGAACCCAATAATGATTTTAGACCCCTCTCCAAGCCAACTGCATGAAGCTACTCACATACTCCTTTCTAAACAATAATGTAGAATTCCCCGTATAACAACCCCTTCTTCCTCTTCCCCACCTGCATCAGAATACTCACACACTCATTTGTGAATAAGGCTGTAGAATACACAAAAGAATCCCTCATGGTTCCCAACCCCACATCTGGCTAGTCATATACCAATCTCTGAAGAGTGATGTAGGGCTTCCCACACCCCTAACAATGATCAAGGCAAGACAATTCCCATTCAACTATATTCTCAATGTATCCTGATATGGAGAAAAGAAGCTCTGATCTGGCCTGAAGTGATTTGGGGTATATGCATAGTAAGACAAAAACATGTTATTCAGGTGATCTTACCCTAACTATTATGGCTTTGTGTAATTTGGCATATATATGATTAAAATCAGATGCACTATGAGAAGGGACATATACAGTTAGAGAAATAAATGTTTTAATCTGTCAATCAAAATAAATCTGGCCCCTTAGTAACCAGCTCATCGGTCTCCTTGGGACCCCTGATAGAGACATACATAATAGCTTGGGGATCTTGAGTCCAGTCAGTCAAGTGGGCAGCTGTCCATCTTTGGCAGTATGTCTGTCTGTAATCTGTACTCTAGCTTTGCCTTGAATTAAGTCATCTTGCTTTTCCTTAGATCTTTTTGAATCCTTACTTTTAATGTTTTGGATAACAGGCCAAAGTAGACAATAGTCACTGCTAGAATAACATTAGTACAATTCACCCCTTTAAATTACTTCATCATATTCATTATCATGGCTTCAATTTCTTCATAGGGTGAGGCACATGAGTAGAAACATAGGAAGTGATGTAAGTGTTTGGATTTGCTATGAAAGCCAGACATACCCTTGGTGCCAGACTGATGGATGTTCTATATCTCTATCCAGGTCTCTGTGTGTGTCTTCTCTCTGGTCTCTCAGTCTCAGTCTCTATTTCTCAGAAAACCACCCTTTAGACTATTCTCTCTCCCTGCCATTCTCCACTCTGAGATGTAGAGAATATGTCTAGAACATTCCTCCCCACTCATATTTCTCTCTGTCACACAAAGATACACAGAAAACCTATCTTCAGAAGCATTATTCTCCCTGTGTGTATCTCTGTCTTTGTGTCTTGCCCTCTCTTTGTGACTCTATCTCATAAACCCACCATTTAGACCACCCTCACTTTCTCTGTCTTTCCACTCCTGACATAGAGAATAGCAACTTCCAGAGGGTAATTATCCACTCCTATCAAAATTCTCCAGGAACTGTCTCATTTCTCTCTGTCTTCATCTCTTGGTATCTGTCCCTCTTTTTTTTTTCTTTCGGAAAACCATTTATGAGAGTTAACTACTCTCCCCCCCCCAACACATTTGTCACTTTCCATTACCAGACTTAGCAAATTCCAGCTTCCAGAACATTCTTTCCCCCTTTTAAGGTCTTTCTGCCTCTGCCTCTCTGTCTCTTGCTGCCCACCCCCACCTGCAAAAATCCCCCTCCCAAGCCTCTCTCTGTCTCTCTGCTTGTCTCTGCCCAGCATGCCCACCACATACAGCCCCCTTCCTTGAAGGCCTGCTACCTTCTGTTTGAGACTCTTCTCCATCATCACACTGGAGACGCCTAGCACATCCAGTGTGAGCAGGAGGATGATGACCCTCATCATGTGTGAGCAACTGTGTCTGCTCTGTAGATATCTGGACCTCACTGACAAGGCTCAGAGTAGCTCCCTGCTTTTTATAGCTGCCTTTCAGGATGGTTGGCATGAGCAGTGTCCTGCATCCCAGTTGACAGTTCTGCACTGATGTTGACATTGTGTCATTTAGTATACAAATAGGTTCCTGGAGAACTCTACTAGGGATGGAAAATTGACTTTTATTGTCAATTCAATGCCCAATGCCTGCCCCATGTTTCAGGCATATTTTTATTCATTGGTTTTATGTCCCTATTAAGAAAAAGGAAGACTAAGAACAAGATGCTATCATATTATCTTAACTGGAATGGTAGATGTTTAAACCTGATGTCTATCATCCATTCCTCCAATCAGATAGATATTGGTGGAAGAATATCAAGTCTGGCCATTTTCAATCAAGTTTTCAACACTCTTGAACTTGAACCATGGATTCATAAGCAATACTGGGGAGGTTAAATGCACTTGTGAACAATGCTCTAACGTTGGCACAAACGTTTGGTTATTGTTCACATAACCAAAGACACTGCAGTAAACAGGCCTGAGTAGAATTCACATTTGTTTGTGGAACTGGAGGTTCTAGCCTTTTTCTATTTAAACAACTGTGATAACATAGAGCATACAGTCTTGTTTCCAAAGATAAAGTCTTACTTCTATACATATAATTTATTGTTATTTCTTTACAAATATCATTCAAATTTAATAGCCTGTCAATCATAATTATGATGTATAACCCAAGAAACATTCAGAAAACTTATTGGATAATCATAATTATATATAGTTAAAATTTAAATTTCTTCCTTATCTTATTTATTTTGAGTTCATGTGTGTATATCTTTGTGTCTGGGCTCAGGTTCCCAGGCTTGGCAGCAACCACCTCTACATGAAGAGCCATCTCATTAGCCCTGGGTTTTCGTAGCTTTTGGGAACCTGTGCTGGTGAGACATTTGGGGAATGTAACCCTTCCATGTGTCAGAATCCAATAATCTGAAATTTGAAATAGAATGTTTGGACTCATATCTTTTTAATAGTGTTTAATATGCAACAATGCATGCATATACAGTTTTTTCTTTTTAAAATATAGTATCAGTATTTTTTGCATAGAACCATGTGTAATATTAAAACAGCCAGAAAGACAGTTTTGACTTCTGTATCTGTCTGCACATGAAAGAGAAATATCACAAAATACTTGATTTTACAATTACTTTGGTTCTCAGTTATACATGTAGTAAGTGTCCTTATTAGTTTACTTGTGCATAATATGTGTTAAAACTTTATCATATATTTTGTACATGGGACTGGGTATGTTCATACCCTGGCATGTGTGTAGAGGTCAGAAGATAGCTGGTGGGTACTGGTTCTCTTTCCTCCTACTAAGTGGGTCATAACATTCAGTCATGATTATCCCCTGAGGTGTCTAACATCTCAGGAACATAGTTCTGAAATATAAAATAATGTAGAAATCATCAAAACCTACATTATAGTGCAAAAATTATTCAAGTAAGTATGTCTCTCCCCACCCCCACTTTTAATTGATATCTCTGTTAGTCATTGGAGCACTAAAAAAGCAAATTTGTTAAAGAAGAAAATGCAACCTACAGAAAGAAGTTTTTCTTCGAGATCACTGTTTCAGAGGTATGAGTTTCTATCTTCATCATGGCAGTGGCTTCATTCAGAAGCTGAGAGCTTACATCTTGATCCAAAAGTGGTAAACAGAGCAAAGCAGATATGATGTAAGGCATTGAGACCTCAAATCCCATTCCTCACAGGCATACTTACTCCTGTGAGGCCATCCCTCCTTAGGATACCAAACAGCACCTCTTATTCTCCTATTAAAGGGAATGGGATGGAATTGATCGAAACATATTATGTACATTCATGAAATTCTCAATTTAAAAAAATAAGCAAATAATACAAAGTGATGGATAATGCTATAAAATTCAACACAATTTTTAGGACTTCAAAATATACACTTAACAACCATCTGTCTGGCAGTAGGAATTATCAACCACCATGGCTTCTCTTAAGCTACTAGAGGAGAGGTGTGGAACTTTGATGGACATGAGCCTGAAAAAGCTGACTCAAGCCTACAATGGCACTGGTTGTTTAGGTCACTGTGTTACTGGGTAGTAAATGTCACAACAGAAAAGAGGGAAGAAAAATTCAGACAACAGGTATTCACGAGTCAATATGCTCCTTTGTGTCATTTCCCTTTCCTCAACACTGCAAGTTTTGGTTTTGTAAACTCCCAACCTGTCTGTGCAGTTGTTGTCTGCTTTGAGTCCCCTGGTTCTGCTTACACATCTGTTTGCTAAGAGGAATCCTTGGAGAGGAAATCATCTGTCTTAGATTTATTGTTCTTCCTTCTAGAATAGGCTGGATTTTTCTTGTTTTCTGGCATAATTTTTGACAGTATTTAAAAACCTAATTGCAAATACAAATATTTTAATACTGTGAAAAAAGATATTTCAGCATACAGTTGAAAAGTAAAGCAGGAATCTAAACATTTTAGAAAATGGCAATTCCACTCCTCCTGAGGTCTAATTTTTGGATAAGCTCTTTAAACATTCTGTTGATACAGAAAAATAATGATTCTATTTATCTGCTTTTACAGTTACACTTGTGAGCATTTCCCACAGGAATGTCAAGTTTATTTTGAAAATACAATGTCCTTAATCAGGCAAGGAGACATATACATTTTAATCCTGGTACTCTTGAAAAAGAGGCAGTTGTTCTCCATGAGATCAAGGCTATTCTGTTCTACATAGTGAGTGCCAGGACAGCCAGGACTACTTAGTGAGATCTTGCATCCAGAAAACCAACCAATGAACAAGGAAATGAATAATTCTCCAGAAAAATGTGTGATTTTTACAAGTCTAATGTGTGTGCATATGTGTATATGTTCCTGTGAGTGAAGGCATGCACATGCCATAGCAAACATGAGAAGAATGTCAGATGTCAAACTCAGGTGACAATCTTCATTTCCCACAGACAAGAATAGACTGTGTTTGATGTTGGAGTACTTAGGACCGAATTTGGTTTTAAATAAAACTTAAGTAAAGTGGGATATTTGAGTTTTCAGTAAACAGAAGAGAAGTCTATGTGAAACCTTTCTATGCAGAATCTTTATTTTCCATTACTTTTCAGTCCCTCATTTACATATTGACTTATTCACACCGAATATGCTTAAAGTCATTTTAATGCATATAATAATTTTATTACATTTTTGAAAATTTCATACTTATAGACAATGAATTTTGATGATATCAATCCCTGTTCCTCCCTCTAATTCTTTCTAGCTGCTTTCTTCTCCCTCTACTTGCTCAATCTTTTATTTTAAAATTATGCTTGGAGTCATATTTGTGTAGGGCACATACTCACAGATGTGTGACCTACTAAAAGGTATACCCTTCAAAATGTATTCTCCCTCTTCCTGAACTGAGTAGCTGCTCACTTAGGGGTAGGATTCATGAACCATACTAAAATGCAGACAATCTCACTCTTATTTCCTTAAAACCTTTATTCCTCTACTTCTCAATATTCCCCTAAAATGACTAGACATTTAAATTTGACATTTGACAAGATCTGATTTTGAGCAGTTACTCAGTTGAGGAAATGGTATGAATTTTGGCACTGTATCACCATTTTGTCAAATTTGTTTCATGAAACATGTGAGGATTGAAGGTTTTCAGAATCATGTTTTTTTTCCTTTTTCTGTTTGTCATTGACATTGAGATCCATGCTATTTTAAGCCACGTGTTTGAACTCCATATCTCAATTCAATATAGGCAGAAACCAAGGTTACTTGGCATCATCAGAACTTAGTTCTCCCACCGTAGCAAGTCCTGGATACCCCATCACACCGGAAAAGTAAGATTCAGATTTAAAATCACTTCTCATGATGATGATAGAGGACTTTAAGAAGGACGTAAATAGATCCCTTAAAGAAATACAAGAGAACACAAGTAAACAGGCAGAAGCCTTTAAAGAGGGAACACAAAATATCCCTTAAAGAATTACAGGGCTTCCTCCCCTGCCTGGACCTGTGGGCTGGGGCAGACACAGAGTTGGTCTGCTCCTGTCCTGTGGAGATACTGACTCCTGAGTCATCCTAGAGGAGCCACTGCACTCAGAGCAGCAGACACCAAGGTGGTTTGCACTTGGGAGACATCGTATCCTCAGCCATCCTAGAGGATCCACTGCACCCAGAGCAGGAGGATTTCCAGATCCAAGAGGGGGCCTGAGTCCCAGGAGTTCTTTCCCCCAGGAGATTAGGATCATAAGACTACAGAGATATCTGGACTCTGAGGAGCTCTGCAACAAGTAAGATAACTGGAAATACAGACTCCAGTCTTACACAGTGAGGGCAGGCAACACTAGAGTTAACCAGATGGCGAAAGGCAAGCGTAAGAACATAAGCAACAGAAACCAAAGTTTCTTGGCATCATCAGTACCCAGTTCTCCCAATATAGCAAGCCCTGAACACCCCATCACACCTGAAAAGCAGGATTCAGAATTAAAATCACTTCTCATAATGATGATAGAGGATTATAAGAAGGAATTAAGTAACTCCCTTAAAGAAATACAGGAGAGTACAAGTAAACAGATAGAAGCCCTTAAAGAGGAATCACAGAAATCCCTTAAGGAAATGCAAGAAAACACAAAGAAGGAATTAAACAAAAACATTGAGGATCTGAAAATGGAAATAGAAACAATAAAGAAAGCTCAAAGGGAGACAACCATGGAAATAGAAAACTTAAGAAAGAGATCCGGAGTCATAGACGCAAACATCACCAACCGAATACAAGAGATAGAAGAGAGAATCTCAAATGCAGAAGATACGGTAGAAAATATTGACACAGTTGTCAAAGAAAATGCAAAATGCAAAAACCTCCTAACTCAAAACATCCAGGAAATCCAGGACACAATGAGAAGACCAAACCTAAGGATAATAGGTATAGATGAGAATGAAGATTCCCAACTTAAAGGGACAGTAAATATCTTCAACAAAATTATTGA